GAATGGTAATGGATTTACAGAGCTAACAACCACTCAAATCACCATACACTTCACACTCACACTGAGCACTTGATGTAAACATAACACATACACTCAAACGCTGATGGCATATCATCAGGGCAAATTTGAAGTTCAACCTAAGGACACTTCAACATGGAGCCGCAGATTGAACCACTGACCTCACGATAAGTGGATCACCCTCTCTACTTCATGATATTTTTTTTAAAGATATTTTTTAAGTCAGCATTAAATTACATCATTTTATCATAATTCCCCAGTGTGTGTGGGAAATATGAGCTATGGTAGTAGGAGAGGGGGGAGAGAGATCTGAAGTTCTTTATCAGAAACTACAGTATCCGTCCCACTCCTGCGAGCGAGGCTTGAGGGACACTGCTCTCTATGGGCTCTCTGTGTGCGCCAGACTTCACTGGGTTTTAGCAAAAGAAGCACAACTTATTGGATTAGGGGGTCCAGCATCTATGCTCATATTGCTGCAGGGTGTGTATGTTTCAATGTGTATGTGTGTGCAAGTGTGTGACTATGTTGGTGAGCAGCTCCTGAACGAGGGAGGGGGTGGAGTCGTATATACAGGATAATTTCCCCTTAACTTTTCTATTTTATGTACGGGCCTTCTGGTGGAGCCCTGCCTTTTCATGTTCAGAGGTTGGAAGTTTAAGCGGGCCTGAGGAGCAGCGTACTTTAAACGAAGCAGGAGCAGAAAGTCTTTTCCTGCTGCACACGTGGATTTAACTGCACCTGTTTTAATTGCAATCCCCAGGAAGTGTTTTGTCTGCACGGACAGGATAAGGTTTTGGCTCACACTCTTGGCTATAGATGGTCTCGCTGCTGATGGTATAACTCTCCATAATTGTCAACACGCAGAGATTCACAGAGTGGAAGTGATTTACTGGCACAACACAACACTCTCTATTTGTGTCCTTGGTGCCTGTTCGGCGTAGTAACCCAGCTCACCTTTTTTACAGATTTCAGTCCATGTGTGGGAGGTTGTATTTTCCAGCTGAAGTTAATTTCTCCCTCTTTCTCTTTCCCTTTTGCCCTTATGCACGATTTCATTTATGTCCTCTTATAGTGCTATAGATGTAGAAATGCAATCGTGATAATGTACTCTCTCTAGCTGCACCCGTTTCAATGTCTTTAATACTGAAGAAAGAAAGCATAGTTAGCAACCAGTGGGATTTTGTCCTGCTGTGTCCAGCATCATTCATGCACCCTTTGATGGGAGATGTGCCCTTTCCTTAGTGGGTTACTTACTGAGATAAAGAATCACAGATGCTGGGAGGATTCACTGCATTGCCCCTTATTTATTTATTGTGCAGCATGGCACATGGAAAGCACACAAGGCAGCAGCAAGTGAAAACACACTGCTTGGAAAGAAGGAAAAATCATAAACATTTCTTTTTCATCTCTCTTTATATCTTTCTCTGCACTGACACCAATTAAATGGACTTTAAAACATGGATGTGTTAAAACTTAAATGGGGACTTCACCGTTTTTCAACTGGCTATAAATAGTTACATTATCAATAGTATGAAGAGGAGCAATGTTTATTTCCCTGCCCTGTTGCAGTGGACCTGCCACTAGTACTTGTAAATGTTCTCTGATTTTTCCAGGCATGTTGCACCAATTTAAATTTTTTGTTTCCATCGTTTTGCTGAACAGATGCACAACTTTTATTCAAAGGCCATCCTCCCAACAGTGAGTTACTTCTATAAGGATCTTAAGATTTCCAAAGGCAATCATGAACCCAAAGGTTTCAAAGATCTTGATGATGCAATTTAACTGAGCTTTACCTTATTTTTTACTTCATCAGGCATTTCATCATTTAATGACCCTGTTTGTTTTCCCCTTGTCTGTGTTCTTTCTCTCTCCAATTGTGACAGAAAGGGAGTAAAGACCGCGGTAAGAACTGCACTGTGACTGGCAAAACTTAAAACGACCCTCCCTCTGTATCTCATTATTGCATGGTGTCGCTAACGCCACCCGGGCTGCAGAGTCTATGTTTATGACGTGCAGGACATCTGTGAATAACGACCGATTGTTGCAAAGGAGACAAAAAATCAATTTCACTGTCAGAGTGGACATTTAATTGCGGAGATTCAGGGGGGTCATGAATACAGTGTGTGGCCCACAGTGTGCTGGCTGCATTCCACTCACGTAGCTCTTTGAAGGGCTGAGTGACTGCCTCCCTCTGCCAGAAGCGCCATCCTAGTCCCAGTGGCGTTCCACCTTAAAAAGACGTGTATACGTGCTTAACTGGCTCCCTGACATTGACACACGGTGACTCACGCTGCCGTGCTATTTCGGTATGGATGCTGGCAAGCCTTGGCCTTTTTTCGTAGCCTCTCTCTTCCCCTCCTTTGGTCATTTGTTTGTCTCCCGTGCAAGGTTGTTTACTTGTAATTTGGGCATCTGTCAAGGTGGTCTGTTTGCTACCCCACGGTGTGATTAGGCTACCTTTGCCAAATCATGGAAGGTAGATGGGGTTATAGTAATAAGTCCCGGCTGGAAGTCATAGCTGCAGTTTGGCTGCTTCTCATTAAACCGACTGTAGAGTGATAATTAAGAAAAGCACTGGGTAGTGAAAAAATAGGTGCCGCTGTGACAGGGATGCAACAAGTTCAGCAGATTCAGGTCAGTGGTCACAAACATATTCATCATGCTTGTTCACAGTCTCTCTCCCTCAGTCGTAATGGTGGTCAGTGTCCCAGTGCTGTCTGTTTGTCCCGCCTCGTCTTGTCACACAGTCTGTTCTGCACCATGCTGCGGTGCCAGAACCTCATCTTACACCAGAGGGACGGACCGGGCAGTTAACCACCTGCTGCTGAAGCAGCCATATAGCACATAGCTCAACCCAGCATTTGCAGGACCACACATACACAGATTTCCAGATATATTTACAACTAGAATGGCACTCAGTGGATTTAATACCTTCACCAAGGCCCAACAGTCCCCTTATGAGAGCACTTTTAAATTCACTGACAGAATCAATACGTTATGTCCTGCCCCTGCCTGCTGCACCACCCCTATCTGAATGTTGCAGAGATTTCAGTTTTGTTGTGAACATGTCTGAGCTGGAAAATCTCATGTGTGAAAGGAAAACTCCAGAGAAAGTCCAGTCCCCACTGTAGGGACATTCTCTGGAGTTCATATCTGCAAACAGCTATTATAATTATTATCAGTCCATTAAAGGTGTCATTTTCTTCATCAACATCCATAAATTATTCTCTGAGAAATCAACATAAATGTTGAAAGCATCTTATCGCACAATGTCAAACAAAATAAGGATAAGCCCCTTCATGCTGATCTGCACCAAAATTTAAATAATTGTTCTTTGGGTCATGTCCCACACTGTCATAATGTGCTGAGTATCCTGCTAATTACCAAACAAACCACTGAATGTATATTTAAAATCCTTGGCAGAGGTAATCCTGCAGGTTGCAAAGTCCAGGTATACATACAACATGCAAACTCACATAGTAGTAGTAGTACAAAGAGTAGAAAGGAATGGTGCTGATTTCAGATTTGCTTGCTGATCATGTTTCACCCCGGGCGTTACTAATTTCTTCATCTTCTTAATGAACATTATTGGCAGGATCGCATTAACCCAGCACTTAAGTTTCCTAATGGCTAACGTTATGCTCCATGCTCACATCACATACTGTAGTCTCTCTCACACAGTCAATACTGAATAATTTCCTCCAACTTCTTCTCAGTTTTTGGGATCAGCAGCAGTCACACACAGTGTGATGTTATATGTTAATACATGGATGCTATAAACCACACAGTGATGGCTCATCTGGAGCTGGTTAACTGCAAATCAACGCTGTCTTCATGTTGGTAAATCATTCATAAGTGTGAGCTGGTTGATTTCTCAGACTATTTGTGATTCGTGTATTGAGCTTAATCGTGCAATAAAACTTTTTATTTACTACCTGGAGACTACACAAGTTGCAGCAGTTGCAGTAGAAGCACAGCACTTTGCAGCAGTGATGGCACTAAAGTACAAATCAACACGACTCTCATTGACAGAGGTGGGAATGTAACTAAGTACATTTATTTAGTTACTGTAATTCAGTAAAAATGTCATGCATCTGTACTGTCATTATTTTACTCCACTACATTGGATGCACTGCGTTACATGTTCACATTATTTTCTTTATATATATTCTTAAAATTAATTTATTGCAAAGGAGGAACTGGTCAACTGATCCAACCAGAGCAGACAGGTAACATTAGACTCCGCCTCCTGCAGCAACATCACATTATATTAGGGGACAGGCCACAAACGCAAGTAAGTTTACTTTTAACAACGTAAGTATATTAACTTAAGTAGAAAGGTCGTGTTACTTGTTTGTCCATTATTAATGCTTTTACATAAGTAAAATATTTGAGTACTTCCTCCATCACTGCTCACTGAGTGTTGTCATGGGTGTGTCAGGAAGGTGTGGGGGGAAGTGTCGAGCAGGAGAGAAGCAATAATTTGTATTCATTCACAAAGAAGTGGCTCCTCTGTTCATCCTTCTTTAAAGCAGCACTACCACAAAAGAAAAGTCACTATATTGATGTTATAAATCCATTCCATTAGATCCAAACTAAATTACAGCAAAACACTGTTGCAGTTTGATATGCATTATGATGGAAGCTGTTCAGACAGTATTTTTAAAAAAGCGGTGCAGCAACATAGTTGCGGAACTACTCAACAAAGGGAGGTAATCATTAATCTCTGACTGTCATCAGCTGCTGTACACAAGTGTGTGATTAGAAAACCTCAACCTATTTATCTTAAACTCTTTATTTTGCTTTTCTTTCATTTCCTTTTTTAAAATATAAGATAATGAACATGGTTCTGACCCACAAACCTGAGTTTCCTGATTATAAAGCTTTTATTTGGCATTGCAGGAGCTTTGACATGTTTCCAACTTTAGGAGTGGCTGTCACACGCACTATGGACAGAGAGGGTGTGGCCATAGTATCTGCTGCTGAGTTTCACCTGAGAACGAAATAAGCTCAAGTGCTGAAACACTCTTCGAGGAACTACTTTTACTTTGGACTCTCTCTTCTTTTGAAGGTAAGTCTGAGCTGTTTTATATTTTCTCTTTACGACTCCATCACTCCACAGAAGTCCATTGGATTTTCTTTGTAGTATGTACTTACAGACAAAACTAGTGCTGCTGCTTGTTTTCATTGACAGTCACTTAATATCTCTAAAAACTGATAAGAGTAATTAAGTAAAGTCAAACTTCTACTCCAACCTGCATGTTAAAGTTAAGATAAAAAAAACTATATTAGAGGAGTGGATGAGAACTAAACAGTAGAGATCTTCTCTCTTATTTTAATGAGATATAAAATAAGAGCATTCAAAGACAGTCAGTCTAAAGACGTTCTGTGAATAATGTCTACTTCATGTTGTATTTACTCTCAGGGTCATAATGGAGCCTGTATGCACAAGTATGGGGCTAAAGGTGGCTGTGCTGTTGGTGCTAACAATTCTGCTGAAGACAGGTGAGTCTAATAGCATTTCTCGGCTGTGCTTTTTCAGCTTTCTGATAAGTGAAAGCAAAGCAAACATCATATCTGTCACGCCTTTGACTGGCCCTTTTTTCACCAGTTGACTGCTTTTATCAGTGCGACTTAAAAATTCTGAACGTGGAGCGTAGAGAATATATGATCACTAACAGGACAGGTGTTTTTCTCTCCTGATCAGTGATTTCCTCAGCAGACATCTGATGCGTCGATCCGACAATAACGTTACTGAGTGGCTTACATTGCAGACGCTCCATGAACCATGACTATATAATGTGTGTGGCTGGCAGGGCCTCCTGCATACCATTGATATCTCTGTTGCTGCTGCTAAGGGTTCAAGCAGCTGTGTGCATTTGTTAAGTCAGACCTGAAGAGACTTTACAGTCCCTGGTGGGGAAATTAGTCTTGGGCCTCCATCCAAGCTGCCGGGTTTAATATATGAAGGACATAAAAACAGAGGTAGAATTAAATCAAATACATGCAGCTGAGAGAAAATAAACACTGAATACACTAAAAACTCTGATCGTGTTCCACAAAAACTTCCTAAACCCTCATTTTGCACGTCATCCTCATCATATCAGAGGTTTACTGTTGGGCATTAAGAGCCTGGATTGACTTCCAACAGTAAATTGAGAGAAAAGTGTTATGCGCCTGTCGTCTGGGCCAATGAGGAGGTGCACGGGATTTGAATATTTTCAGCCTTTTACATTTAGCTCAGTGACTGCGCTCAGTGCCAAGTTAGCTTAGCTGCCGCTCCACATATGAAACATTTCTTCTCTTAGATCACAGTGTTTTTGCCCAGGGGCCTTTCATGGTGTAAACATTTGACTGACTAATTTGAGCTTTTTTCAGACTCCCTTCATCAAATCTGCCACTTACAGGATTTCATAAATACCTACTTTGTTTTTGCACCAGTGGCATTAAAGTGCACAGTGAATTTAATGATGAGCTGTGTCAAAAGAGGGTCTCATCTGATTTATCATCACGCTCCATTTAGATGTTTAGCGAAGGTAAATCATCTAAATGGGAAGGAGATGACATTTCCTGAGACATTAAATGACAATTTCCCCGAGATAAATAACTTGTGTTAAAACGTGTTGCTGCGTTATAATAATCGGCGCAGAGCTCTTTCTACAATTGTCAGGTCATCAGGAATAATTAAAATCTGTAGCCATACAGAGTGAGTCAGCAGGGTGTGTGTCAACTCCGAGAGAGCTTTTAACTGCCACTCGTCAAGTACATTTTTCATGTTTGCTCATCTATTCACTTTTCTTCATCATTTCCCGATCATAGATTTTGAAAAATTAATGAGCCTCCAGAGTTTTAACTCATTTTTTGCCAAAAATCCCACTTTTACACTTCCAGCTCCAGAACTTTAAATCCTCAGTTAGACTTAGGAGACCGACTCAGATAACCACTCCTACTCCACTCTGAGACTGTTTATGAGCACAGGCCCACAGCGTGAATGGCATTAAGTGGGGGAATATTTATACACTGGGAGAGAAATTAGTTTTGTTTTGTTGTTGTTGTTCCTGCTTTGGCCTGGGAAGACGATTATGAACACCACAGGGACAAAGCATTGTAGTATGTTATAAAATAGACAAATCTGATCAAGATTTTTCTGTCCCTTCAGATGTAATGGAGGCGCTGGACATAACATCCTCAGGGCCACAAACCATTCAAAAGGCCCAAGGGGTGACAGTCAACCTGGGGTGCACTTTCACCCCCAGCCCCCAAGACACAGGCGATTTGGACATTGAGTGGTCCGACCTCAGCCCTGACATGACGCAGAAGGACCAACTGGTAGGTTTTCTAGAGGACACAGAGGGATGTTGTTGACTGGAAGTTAGACAGTTGACGTAAGCTTTCAGCAAACAACCTAGAGTGTTTTACAGTTTTTTATTACCTTTGGGCTACGTTTGTGGAAAAACCTGCTTTGAAGATTACTCAAAACACTCTTTGCACCTCAGATAATGTCCTATACCGGGGGTCAGACTCACTACTACGGCGACCCCGGCCGCTCCAAAAGGCTCCGCTTCACAGGGGACCCCAAAGTGGGGGACGCCTCCGTCTCCATCGCCAATGTGAAGCTCTCAGACACAGCCACCTACCAATGCAAAGTGAAGAAGGCACCAGGTGTCGACACGCGGAAAGTCACTCTGGTGGTAATGGGTGAGGAGGAATACCTGAGTTCCAGTTCTACCTGCTCTTTTTCTCAGTGCTTTTATTCTTCTTACAGACGTTGCTCTCACTTGCTCGGAATGTTCATACCCTTTCTTGTTCCTCCCTCTCAGTCGGTGTTCACACCTTTGTCTCTGGTTCTATAACCAGACTGGTTCTTCTCTTCCACACAACTGCCCCCCCCCTCCCCCAACACATCTAAATAAAAGTTTCCTTCCTCTATAGTTCCCCCCTCAGTGCCAAAGTGCTGGGTTGATGGTGGCGAAGAGAAAGGGGGGCCCGTCTCCCTCCGCTGTGAATCATCTGTAGGAACCAATCCTCTCAGTTATACTTGGAGAAGAGAGAGCGGGGGTGCAATGCCGGCCACTGCAACCCAAAGTAAGGAAAGAGCTCCTAAAGAGACAAAAATACTTTTTCTGTAAGCAGACATACACCTTCATGATGCTGAATTCACTCTCTTCTTTCATTAAGACGAACAGTCTGGGGAGCTGTTGATAAGTAACCACACAGACAACAACGTTGGAAGTTATGTGTGTGAGGTGAAAAACGCTGTGGGCAAAGAACAGTGTAAATATGAGCTGCATGCATACAACCGTAAGTCTATAAAAAAAATCAACAGTTTTTTCTTTCAAGTTCATATCCTAAAGGGACTTTGTTTCATCTGTCTGCTGCACTTTGAGTGTCTGCTGCATGTGGTTGAATCACATGTACAGTAAGTTTCTTGTTGCACCATGTCATCTCCTGCAGCAACCAATAAGGTGGGTGTGATAGTCGGGGCGGTGATCGGGGCTCTGCTGCTGCTGCTGCTCCTGCTGCTTCTCATCTGGCTCCTGATCTGCTGCTGCCACAAGCGTCGCTATGAGAAGGAGGTCGCCAATGAAATAAGGTGCAGTATTTTACAATTTCAAACAGGGCCCACTCTTAACCTGCCTGTTTGGAGTGGACTGTATGCTTGCCCTGTGTTAACGCTCCAGAGCTACTTCAGAATTATTCCTTGTTATTAGTTAGTCCTCCTCAGACAATAGACTGTCACTTTAAATTGTTTGTGTGCTGGACGTTCTGTGCAGAGCTTTTTATAAATAGTCTATTGTGCAGAGTGAAGTTTAAAAACTTTGTGTCCATCCTACCTGGTTTATCTGATATTGTTGTCATTGTTCTTCATAAAAAAGAAACTTATTTTGCTGTATTTTTGTTCACATGTGGTTTATATATAAGTTTGCATGGTTTACTGAACTAGTGTTTACCGCAAACTGCAGTAAATCAACCACCACAATCTTCAGATCCAAGTTCACAACCAAGTTCAGACCAAAATAAAAGTTTTGTTATTATATAAAGCATAAAGCATTGAAGACAAATTACAAAAACAGGAACAGATTCTATGAATGTTGTTGTCACGACAGAGATCAGCACCAATGACACCTGTCTAAGTCTAAGTATCAAAATGATCTGGCAACAATTTCAACCTGCGGTTTGAACCAGTTGTCCACTGCTGCTGTAGTTTATCAGAGGACGTCGAAGACGAAGTGTCCACAGACTCATGGCACACTGCCCTACTCCCCCACTGACTGCAACAGAGACCTGGTTGCCTGTTCATTTTAATTTTGTTAATATTGAGCGTATCACATGTCCAAATGACACCAAGTTTTGACACTGCACTTCCCATGACCACTAAGAATACATATGCAGAGTGTCAAGCTGATAACATTAATGTTACAGACAATAATAGTAGGCAGATAATAATAATACTAGGTAGATAATAATAATAATCCACATTCAGAGGGTTATCAGATTGATGCCTGATTGACTTGTCTCGGCAGGGAGGACGTCCAGGCCCCAGACAGCCGACCCACCAGCAGGAACTCCAGCTTGCGCTCAGTGCTGGGGTACCGCACTCACCCTGGGGTGGTCTACAGCTCCGTGAGGAACCCCCTGCCCAATTTCAGGGAATCCGGCCGCAGTGCAATCTACACAAAAGGGAATGATGGGAAGTCACCAACTGCCACTACAGGCGACAAACCTGCTCAGCTCCAGTACGACCATCGATACGGGTACCCTGTGTAGCTGCACAGACTTCCTGTCTTTGGTATAAAGCTGAAGAAGAGACTTTTAAAGATTCTTTACGTGAAGAATGTAAAGAATGTACAGTATGTTTGTGACAAATGGTGCAAAACACTATATTTAACTGGAGAACAATGGGAGTGCTGGTATATATCTACTGGGGACTCATACAATCTTACCACAGCCTTAGGACAAATATAAATCTGCAGCTGGGTTGACTTTCATGCTAATCTGATTCTATACACAATTTCACTAATGGTAAAGCAACTCAACCGAAACACAACCACAATGGAAGTGAGTGATAACGGATGTCGACAAAGACAACTGACAGTCCGATCGTCCGTTGTGGGATCTCCAAACACCTGTGCCCTAACACCTTAAAAAGACAAGCATGTCATTTTAATCGGTGACTTGACTTCAATGGGTTTTTACAAGTGGCAGCTCACTTGACCACAGTGAGTAACTCTACGTGTTTTGTTGTCTACATGTGTAGCTTTTGTAGTTCTGTTATGGCTTTTAGATTTGTGTTGTGGCTTTTACCTTTGTGTTTTGCGTCAGTGCACTTGTGTGAGATGTCTCGGCCACTGCCTTTGTAAGTAAGAATAGTTTCTCATAATCAAAGTCATTGTTACACTGATTATCAATTAAGCTAAAACCTTTTGTGAATGTACATACTAAGAAACTTGTATTATTATTATTTTTTCATGCATATGCAGCTCAATTTGTTGAGTACTTTTTTAAATAAGACAAATAAGAACAAAACACAGTAGAACAATATTTGAAAGATGCAGGATGTGAAAACTGTGAAAACTTAACTTAATCCAATATGATCAAATATCCAAATACCACTTAATTAGAGAGTCAATCAGTGTTTTTAAGAGTTCGGAGAATTCATTAAAACTAAAATCTGTGTTTCCATATCACCCAGTGAGGAAACTGGATACTTTCGGAGATGTTACTGATCATAATAAATTACTGAACTACTCACGAGTCAGAATCCTGGCAGTCTTTGAAGTCAATTTTTCATATAATTTTCTTTGTGTGAATTTTCCCTCTGGAAGTTTTCTATAGAACAAATTGCTGTAAACTTGCTTGTGTTTGCATTGTGTGTTTGCAGCCAGTAAACTAGTCATTAGACTAACAGCTGGTAGTTCAGTCACTAACCATCAGCACGATGCCTGCAGCCTCGCCTTGCTTCAAAACAGCCTGTGTTGGCCTGAGTCCATCTTCAAACTGTGTGTTGAATTAATAAGAGGTGCTAGAAGGGGTTAATGTTGGTGGGACCCCAGTGATACATTTCTGCCCAGGGCCTGTATTAAGGGCAGGGGCAGGTTGAGGGTGGGCATTTATTTGGGAACAGTGTTAATATTTCATAGGATTACAAATAATAATAATAAGAATCATTAAGGCTTTAAATATTTCACTTGCCAGCCTTGCAAGTTTTAAAGTAGTTTTACACTAAAGCTACACACACACAGCACTCACAAACACTGTATCTGCCTCTACTGTGTTTGTCTTGTCAGTCACTTTTTGTGTGCACATGTCAACATCTATATCCTTCTGTTTGTTCAATTCAATCCCAAGCTGTTATTTTCCACTGTGTTTTTATTCTTCATTGGATATGGAAAATATTTTCTATTTTTATTTTTCATGTTTCATGAGTCCAGTCTGGCATGTGTTTAACTGTTGAATGTAAAATAAAAGTGTTTGTAATACCAGTGCAATAAAGGAGCAGTGTATTTTGTGAAAACTGCAAACATGAAATGTCATTTATTTCTAATATGTTTTAACACAAACAGCCCAAACCACACTTTGTTGGATCTCAGTAAAAGTTCTGCCTTCTAAGAAATTTATTATGAAAAGACAGTTGCCAGACAATCATTTGTAATTAATTATTGTTTATCTATTTCCCCAGTCCATGCATGGATTAAAGGGAAAGACTTGTGTATGCAGAAGGCTTTTGTTCACAGAGAACTGGTCGAGGACACGCACACTCTGCAGCGTGAGCAAAGGCTCACACTGAAGATGTGAGTCTCACTGAGTGAGTGTTCACATCTAGACTCTGAAAGCTCCTGCATGAAAAGGAGCTTTTTTATGTTAGTGTGCAAAAGGAATTTCGGGCCTTGAAATTTGACGATTCATACTTTTAACGAACTTAAGGTTCATGATGAAAACTCAAGGACATGGACCTTGGAAAGACACGTTCAATGTAATTAGGGTCCTGTTTTGACAAGATAGTTGTGTAGTAAATCATGGAGAAAGAGGAAATATAAATTACACAGAAAGTAGACGTGGTTTTAAATGTCTGTCGACTAAGTTTGTGTCCTCCACAGCACAAACTACAGTGATAAGGTGCTGCATTAGTGAAGCTCCTGAAGGTGATTCAAAGGTGAGTTGCTTTTCTTATCAGGTAAATAGATGCCTGTGTGTGTGTGTGTGTGTGTGTGTGTGCATGTGTGTGTGTGCGTGTGTGTGCGGTTTGGTGTTTTTTAATATATGACCAAGCTGCAGGAATAAGAATTTGCATGTGTTATGCTGCACAGATCAACATACAGTAAAGTCAAAGCATATACATAAATGTCCTGCCTACCTCATGTCACCTCATGCAAATAAAGCTCCACCACTACCTGAGGTCGTAACTGATGCAAATCATCCCCAATTCTCATATAAAGTCAGTCAAAGAATGCTGAAACCAAGGGCTTCTCCTTGCTGTGTGGATCCTACAGACGTCTCCAGGCTAGACTTAATGCTCGGATAAACAAAAGGAAACACAGGATTCTTCAGCTGAAGCCAGAGATATTGAGTCAGATTGTGACGACTCGCCGGCAAAGACAATGAAAGCAGAAACCTTGCGTAGGCTTCAGAGTGAGAAAAATCATCATCCGTCCCGGGGGGGCTTTGTTTGAGGTAAAAATGGCAGATGTTTCTGACTCTCAACTTCTTCATAGCTTAGCTGCACATTACATATGACCACCCAAATAACAGGTTTAACTGCATGTTTTTAGCATAATAGATTTTATTTGAGCCCATTTGATCATGTTTTGTATATTATAAAAAGCTGAATATGTGAATCTTCCCCCCAGGACTCCACGACAAACTGTGACTGATTCCATTCTGTGGAAGAAACTACAAATCGTCTGGTTTGGAGTGTGCACGCATTATTTCAGGCCTCTTCTCTGAAAACAGCTTAATAAAACACTTTCCACACAGACTGAGGCTGAGCGGAGCACTGGTTTAAAGATTCAATTATTCTCATAAAAGTTTACGCTCCAGATAGGTTCAGAGTAAAGATTATTATTATGTTGGGGACAAATAAATTGGTGATCTGGGTGATGACAGGTCTATTTGCTGTCACCACTGTTTTCTTCAATGTTTACATCTTATTGATGAGTGTTTTGAGATACAGACAGAAAAAGCAGTGGAGTCCCAGTGAAACCATCATCATGGCTCTGTCCATGGCCAGTGTGACTCACCAGGTGGTCTGTTACGTCTGGATGACCATGGATGAATTGGACATTAAGTGTCTCATTGTTCAGACGCCCTACACCGTCATTCTGCTCATCATCTACAGCCTCAAGTTCACCATAATGTGGGACACCAGCTTCCTCACTTTCTACTACAGCACCAAGCTGGTGAGCACGCCCAACCTCTGCTACACACACATCCAGACCGCCATCCTCAAGCACGTAACCTTGGTGGTTTTCCTCATCCTGCTGTGCGGCCTGGGTACCTGCATGCCAATGCTCGTGGTGTTCCACGCTGACAACCAGACCACGACCAACAAAGATTGCGGGGTTTTGATTCCCAACACCAAGCCTGGTCAGGTTTACGAAGTCATCTATCTACTCCTTGCTGACGTGCTCCCAGGCTTGCTCATGGCGAAATGCTGCATCTCCATCTCCATGCATCTGGCCATCCACCTCCGCAACATGAGAGCCAGCACCAACGGAGCCCACCGCCCAAAGCTGGGCTCTCAGATGAGGGTGATCCAGATGGCTTTATCTCTAGTGGCCATCTTCACTGTGTTCCTTGTTGTCGACTTATATGTGAACTACCAGATATCTGTGAACCACGAGAACGCCATTGTGCTCACATTCTTTGTCACGTCCATCTACACGACCGTTACTGCTATGGTTCTGATCTATGGCAAAAAGACTCACTGGAAAACTCTGATACACGAATTCAACGTCTGCCTGGATGAATATCCGTGTGTGTCTTGTCTAAAGGTGCCTGAAGAAAAAGCTCCACCCAGCGCTCCTGCAAAAGTAAAATAGTGAAAAGAAAATTTGTCGTTTTATTTAATCTTTTGTTCTGGCAGTTTGACCCTGTCCTGCGACAGGCCTTTTTAACTGGGTAACTACCTCATCATACAAAATGTGAGCTCATTTGATTGGACCTTTGAATAGCCATATTCCACTAGAGCAAATAAGAGTCTAAAAAGCAAATAATAGTCTCTAAATAACTCCCCAAGCATGGCTTCCTGGACATGATGTAACTCCATACCCATCCAAAAATGTTGAAAAATACATGTGACTGTGGTGAGAGTACAGAGCATATCAATAAAACAAGAACTTATGCACAACCTGAATTTTTAGCATCAGAGTATTTCTTGAGACAGGTTGCACATGGTTAAAGGGGACAGAGCGCGTGTGTTTGTAACTGGAAGGCACCAGCGAATCAAAAATAAATAAATAAACTTGAGGAGGGGAAAACACTTAAAGTCAGCACCTTATCTTGTGTATCTGCTCATTGGTCCTCAACAGAGGTGTGTGTGTGCGCCTGCACTCGACTGCTTCCAGGTGTGACTGTGGTTAACTGTACCTGTGTGTGTGTGTGTGTGAATGGGTGTGAAGCTGGGTGTTCCTAGAAAGTGCACTCATGCCCGGCAACCCTACCCTGAGTAAATACAGGTCTAAAAAAATGCAGTAGACCTCTTTGCAATGCTCCATTAGTTCACACCCTCTGGCACCACCTAGTGAGGTTCAAAGCAGAGATACGACAGTGCAGCTAATCCCACTCCACACAGCGGCTCAGGATCCCTCTAGCTGCTAAATGGACAAAGTAAGAAAAGGCATATTTTCCTTTGATGCAGGGGAGTTAAGTCGCACCAAGGCCTCGGCTTCAACTCCTCTCTGTCTGTGTGTGTGTGGGAGGGAGCTGGCTTTAGCGTGACGGGGGGAGAACAGTTCATTATGACTAAATAGTGGCCAATATGGATGCAATACTCATGACGGAATATTTCATTTCTCTACCAGTGGCTAGAGTAGTAGTAGTAGTAGTAGCAGTAGTATCATTACCTCCGCAACAAAAGTTATGTTCTCATCGCTGCTGGTCTTGTTTGTTTATCAGCAAGATTGTTCGAAATGCACTGGACCGATTTCCACAAAACTTGGTGGAAGGATGGAAATGGACCAAGAAAAAACTCATTAAAAGGGGTGGGTTCAGAAATCTTTATCACTTTTTATAACTGTGATATTTCTCACTTATTTCCCAGGGAATAATTCATGAATCGTCCCAAAAAAACAAAAATCATATTTAGGGGACTGGTAACTGTTGGACATCGGCGGACATACCATTCTAGTTTAGACTGCAAAAATACAAGTAAAAGTTCTGCATACAAAACTCAACTCAAGATAAAGTATTATCAGCAAAATGTACTTATATGTACCTATATGCATATTGTTATGCATATTATTAAGTGGGAACATAATTCACAAAATAGGCATCATATTCAAAAATACTTAAAACTACTTGTTTAGAAAATGTTTATTGTGTTTATGAATGGAGTGAAAAGTAGGGTCAAAACAGAAACAGACTAGTTTTGCAAACAGTGGAGTCACCCTCTGCTGGTCATTTGGGAGAATCCAGGTTTCAGGTGGCTTCACTTTCCAGACCCGGAATCTACGTCCATTTTTAAACACTCTGCTCACCAGATAAATCTGAGTGGTTGTGATGTTCAACATAAATTTGTACTGTTGCCGTTGTATTTATTGTAATTTATTGCTTTTCCTTTTCTGAGTGGACTTTGGATAATTGTACCCTTTTGAGCTTAAAAACTGCTCGGAGTAAATACCTCTTTGACAGAACAGTTAACAACTCAAAGACCACAGAGAGGTAGTAAGTAACCCCAACCCAGCTCTTTTTTTTCATGAGGGTTCCCGAGCCAGAAAGGTTAGGAGGCGCTGGTTTCATCTCAGTGCATCGTACTGTATTTCATGTTTTTATGTGAAAGCTTAATCTGGAGAGTAGCTGTCAGATATAAACGTAGTGGAGTAGAAAGTACAGTATTTCCCTCTGGATTTTAGTGGGGTAACACAGGTATATAAAAACTGCACTTAGGTATATGAGAGTTCGCAAATATCTGCAGGAAAAAGAACTGCTTTCCATAAGGGCTGTTTGAAGGCGATGCAAAGTGTGCAACCGATAACAATACACAGTGGATATATACAGTAAAAGTGTCACCAGCTTATTGTCGGTTAAAGGGAAGGTGGAGAGCGACGTGAAAAATAAAATTAAAGGAAGGAAGCCGTAGTGATTGATGGCTCCAGATTCTGTACGGCATGAAGTTGTAAACATGTCAACAGTATGGAGATTGTTTCCATGGAGATGTTCCCGAGCATCCAGCTGAAGCAATGCTGCTCTCGCTGCACGGGTGAACATCACTTCTAACAGTCATTTCTCCTGAGACGTGCGCGAAGAGCAATATCCCGTCGCTCACAATCTGACAGGAAGGAACAGGCCATTAACAGTCCAGATTAGCAAGAGCAGCACCCATCAAACAACTCCTGTAAACATCTCATAAACTCCTCCCTCTGGACACCTTCCCCAGATAATGCGTCTTTAGCTCGTGCATCAGAGCTGGAGGCATCATTTTCCTGCACCTAATTGTATTTGAAATACATAAATCAGCAGTTTTCGTGGCACTTCGTTGGATGTTTGGAGCTTGAAAGTGTTATTTTTTTGTGCCATCAACAGCATCAAAATGACTGGCTGTTTCCAGTGAGGGCACACAGAGTTGTCTGTTTACTACTTGTGACACGATTGTACTAAAGAGACAGAGAAGACACCTTTCTAAAATAATCGATGACACCAAATCACAGGAGACACCGGTCTTTCAACATGTCTTTATTTTTGTTCAGTCAACAATAGTTTGTTCATAAAAAGAATCATAAAAAAGATCACTATTTATCTCTTGAGGCATTTTTTGTCTAATGTTTCTTAAATCCTTGTTCGGAAATGTGTACTGTACAAAAACAGTTAATCCCTTGAATAGCAATTACAAAAATCTAAAAATAAACCTATAATATTGACAGCTGAATTGTGAATTCAATGTGATCATTTTCAGAACATGCATAGATTTGGCACAGTGAAGGCAAATATACATTTTTTTTTTTATTTCAGCAGTGCACATTAGAGCCATTTGCTGAAATTAGACCTAAATTACTCTGGACATAACAAATAAACCATCTGTGTCCACACTACGTGTGCAAAAATGATGTAGACATTAAAATTCAATGAATAGCAATAATTTAAATTTCAATAATGAACTGATAAAAAAAGAAAATGGAGGAACTCCTGAAATATAAAACTACAGTGAACTTCAACGAGACTTTTACAGCTGTTACCAATGTTTAAAGGACCAGTTCAACATTTCCCTTCCTTACCCAGAGTTACATGAGTAGATCGATACCTATGTACCTATTTAATGTCTGTGTATAAAATACATAGCTGGACGTGACAGCCTGTAAACTTCACTTAGCATCAAGACCAGAGCTTTTTATTATATTCAATAAAAATAATCTACTGGCGCTGGTTAATTACACCTTTTTTATTGTTTAATTTGATCAAAATAAGAGTAAAAACACCAGGTTTTGGGGGGGGGGGGGCTAGCTGACCTGTTGGGGGGGCCAACTGACCTGTTGGGGGGAGGCTAGCTGACCTGATGCTAGCTCCAGCTCTGCATTTATCATACACATATGAGACTGGTATCTATCTATCTCTTGACAGGAAAGGAAATAAAGATATTTCCCCAAAATGGCGAACTAATCCACTGAACATCAACATCAATGTGACGCCGTGGAGAAGAATCAGTTACAGTATTCAGTTCATCATAAACATCAAAACACAGTCCGTACCACATTCAATAATGCCATCCAGTGTTTTTCAAAACATCATGCATTAGAAAAATTCAGCTTGATCATAATGTGGCTCAACGCCATCATCAAACACAAAAAAACAAATATCTGTTACATTCTGTGCATTGTATTCCCTGCTCTTGATCAAGTTTAACATGTGTCTACTGCAGCTTTATCCTGTTCAAATATGGAATGCCAGTGAACAGAGAGGGGGAGAAATAAGTCATCCAGTGTCACTCCAACAAATAAAAACTAAACATTACATTGCAATATTGGTATTCCTTTTCCCTGCGAGTGGTAACAACGCCACGGTAACTTTTCTTCCAGAATAAAAGCATCTAATCAATGTTTCATTATCTCTTAAAATGCAAACTGAATCTGAGGCTGGAGTGACCTTGTGCACCCGACATCATTGTTCTATTTTTGCCCCTACATATCCTTCCTCGCGGCTTAGAAAACTGCTAAAACTCGGGAACAAAGCACTGCTTGGAATTATAACCGACTTGCATCAGAAAGATTTTCTGCTGCGAATCCTGCGCACATCCCACGTAGATGTTCCTGCATCTGTACACTGCTGTGACATTTCCTCCACAAATCAAACTGCACTTTCACCACAGCCAAATCATAGAATTAGTGACACTTTTGTGCTCTGAGACGTAGGTGTCGCCTTACTGCGGGGTGTGGTCATATGCCGGGAACATCGACTTCCGCGTCTTCGGAGGAGGAGGCGGTGGCTTGCTCTCGATTTTCACTGGCAGCGGAGGAGTAAACTGTGGGGGAAAGGGAGTTCAAGTTAGGACTTCAAATAAAAATAAAAAACAGAATATTTTAACGTTTACCCGCCATTAAAAATGCATTAGCGTGGGGGTGCTATTTTCTGCCAGCAGATGTACCTCTGAAGAGAACCTGGGGTTGTCAATCTCATGTGGGTGTTTCTTCGGAGGCATGGGTGGGGGGGTCCCTGGGGTGTCAATGGTATTGGCATCATTGTCGCTGAGAAGTGACGAATAACCTAACACAGTGAGGAAACAAAGGCTTTTCAAACAGCATGCGTCTGTGAATATGCTGTATGTAGACCAGAATGTGCTTACACAACGTTAGCAGGCATGATATCCCTGCTCATCTGTGTGTGAAGTATA